AAGTGTGGGAAACACAGGCCAGTCTGCATACCATGCTTAATTTGATTAAATGTATAATTGTCAGTAACACGTTAGAGTTCAGCCAAGCCAATTTATAACTTTCCTTATGATTTGTTGCATTGTTTTAATGCAGTCAGGACTGGATTTTATTCTGGTTTAAGTTGTGTTTATACTAATATGTGCTCTTTACTTCTGGAAATGAGAAGTGATTTAGTGATGCCAGTAGAACTAGTTAAAAACAACCAATCTGAGATTGCTCTAGGACTTGGTTTGCAGATAATATGAATAATAGCTATGTTTTTTGGGGGGGAAAGTGAGTTCAGCTGTCATGGAGCTGGCATACAGGAGCAGCAGCCCTTTTAAGAAACAATGCTGAGATGCAGTCTTGATTCTGGAGGTCTGACAGTACCACTTCCTTCTGGTATTAAACACTCATCTCTGTACTGCACAACGCTACGTCATGTTTGAATTGGGTAACCTGAAATCTAATAGATGATGCGTTGTGCCTGATGTTTGTTAGCAAGCAGCTTATGCAGCAGCTTCCATTGCTCTTTGCTGTGTGCTTCTCTCCATTACCCCGTTACTGGGGCACAAATTTGTGCTCAGATGAGCACAAATATGAGCCTGAGCTGGGAGTTGTCCAACCTCAGCACCTGAGCTGGGCTGGTTATGGGAATCTTTGTTAGTGCTGACCTGGCCCATGCTGGGCTACCTTTGACTCTAGTTACTGCTGTGCTGGCCAAGAATAACATGCAAATACTTATTTCTTTTAATGGGAAGTGTAATTTCTTCATATGACTTATTTCTAATAATCAGCTGATTAATCCAGCTATTAAGTCAGGGGAAATGAAGGCATTATGTTTTACACCCTCTATTCTGTTAACAATGGAGGATATAAATTAAAAGGGAAAAGTTGCACCAACAAGCCTGCAAAGCTGCAGGTGAGCAGTGAGGTGTCTCTGAGCCATGGGATCCCTGTGCTCGGTCAGCCCACAGCACTGCTGTGTTGTTGTGGGGCTGATGGTCTGGCCTGTGGGGTGCACTTCTGCCACAAAGCCCTGCGTGGTGTCCAGAGCACTGCTTGGGAAAGTCTGCGGAAGATGCTGGTAGGCAGCCAAACCCAGGGCAGTGCTCATCTGATGTTTATTTTTAGGCACAAAGCATGCTTGAGAGCCTAGTGATAGGAAACGGGGACTGAGGAGTCTGAAGGAAGGAAAGAAATGTGCTGGGATTCCTGTCCCCGTCTTCTCTTGTCTCCTCTTTTGCCCTATTGACTGTATCTGGCCAGTTCTGGATTGAGAGGGTGTCTGGAGCACCAGTGACTCAGTAGATCACTGCTGTGGGAGTAGTGCTAAACAACGAGAAGTCCAACTTCCAGATTAAGATTTATTCACCCTAAAATGTAAAGGAGAGCCAAAAAACCTTTTTTTATTACAACATTAAGACTTAGCATGGGCAAACTGCCATAACAGCAATTACTCACTTTAGTGTCCTTAAGGCTCTCTCTTAGACAGAACGAAGGGGTGAAACCATTTGTTATTCAATATTATTTGGATAGTAGAGGAAATGTTACAGGACTTATAAGTCTAGATCCTTCAAAGAGATCAGAAAATCTCAATTACTCACGTTGTATATTAACATTAATATCTCATGGTGAAGCTTTTGTGAGCCTGAGATTTTTTTTTAAGCCTCCTTTATTTTGTCTCAATGTAAGGAGAGAACTTTCCTCTGGAAACAGGTTTGTAGACTGCTAGAGAGGACTTGATTTATGTGAAGTTATTCTGCACAGCTAGAGCTTTGAAAGTGATGATGGGGGTGATGCTGTGCTGAATCTTCATCATGGTCTGAAGATTCCTTGTCTGTGGCATTCTGTAACGTGGGACCTGAATTTGTGAAATGTGATACTTCACAACAGGAGCTCCTGCTCTGGGTTTAACAAGCAGCTGGTGCTCAATCCAACACCTCAGCCATTGATGCTAATGTCACACACCTGCATGTGACATAGGTCTGAAACACAGGTCATTCAGCCCAGCAGTGCTGTTCAGTGCCTTGTCTTGTTAGCCTTTGGAGTCAAACCTTGGAGAATGGTGTGATCATCTGACTAATGAGGTAAAGGTGGCTGCTATGTCTGTGTACTAAAGGTGGCAACCAATGGTCACCACCATCATGGCTCTAACTTGTTCAAACCTCCAGCTGTGAGAGGGGGGAACTTATATCCCTGGAACAACCTGAGTTCCTCTGGTGAGTAATTAAATGTAGATAAAAGGGGAAAGCTGAAGGCAGGATGAAATGAAATGTGGTAACTTCTACAGGGCAAGTCCATGTGGGTAGGCAAGAAGCTTTTGCTGAAGGAATTGTGTTCTTCTAGCCCCACAGTGTCATTTAGTATGGCCTAACTGGGATTTTGGACAGAGCACTGGTGGGAAGAAGAATGTGCACCAAAACACTGCCATCCACTGAAACACTGCATTTGTTATTAAGCTAAATACTCCTGTTTACGTTAACTTCCTTCTTTGTGCTCTTCTCCATGTTGTAGTAAGGAGGAAAAGGAGATTGTATGTATATTTTCTCCAAATCCAATTCCAGTCAGGTCACAGCTACTTCCAAAAACTGAAGCAAAAATACAGCATTGATCCCCTGTCTGGAATTTCCCCCTCGTGCTGTGGTTCAACTTAGATTTTGATGAGTTATTAGAGCTGTGACCAAGGCCAATTGCTACTTCCATTACAAACCTCAGTTCCTAAGAGTCTTACTAACTTGTGAAAACAAAAAATTGTTGTCACACTCAACTGAGCAATTGTATTAAAAAGAATTGCAACTTCTCCTCAGTTTTTCCCTCCCTGCCTTCCCCTTCCCTGGGAGGAGGGCGGGGATGAATGATGACACTCCAAAAACTGATGGTATTTTGAGCAGGGAAGCTGCTGATGCTAGCAGAAGATCGTGTTAGGGACCACTGGAGAATCTTTGTTGTGTGTCTCCACCACCCATAACTGCAGCCAATGAGGTCATGTGCTCTATCGTAAGCAGAACAAATTGCATCTTAAAACAAATGGTGGTGTTCCTATTCCTACATGGCTTTTAGTGTCTCTGCTACTTTCCAGTCAAAATGGAAAGTTGCCTGTGTATGGCAGTATTTTTTTTTTGCAGTGTTCATCTTAAATTGCTTTCTCCTCTTTCCAAAGCGCTTTTCCCACCATTTCAGTAAAGCTGCTAAGAACTGAGTTTCTTTTCCAAGGGTTGGAGACACCTTGTGAATAAACCTCAGCAATGTGTTTTATACAGTGACACTTCGTGATGCTCCTAGAGCTGCACAAATTGCCCAGGTAACGCTACCTCTCAGTGTGAGAGATGGCTAAACAAACTTATGTTTGCATATAGGTTACCGCACACTTCATCTGTAAGTCTGTGTTAAATAGGTTAAAAAAAAACTGATGTCAGTTTGCTTCAGTCAATTGAAATATCTAATATGTCTAAAGTTTTTTTAAAAAGATGCTTGTATTTCCATTGATGTCCCTGGAGGTCTATCTGTTTGTAATACTGATTGACTACAGCAGGAGATATGAACCAAATTTGCTCCAGAGAGTCTGAACTTGTGTTGGTTTTTCTGTTCATTAGCTGTGGACAATAATGCTTCCTTTGCATTTTTATCTTGAGTTGCTACATTTCTTCCATTTGCGAGAACCAATCCTTCTTGCAAATACATCTAGTATGATTAGTCTTGAATTTAGCTGCAGGTCTTGGGCTCTCTTCCATTGCTAGTACTAATTGATGTCACTTTTCATTTATGAATCCCTTACAGTTTGGATGTGTTTGTGTATATCCACTTGTACATAATGCCTGTCTAAAACATCACGTCAGTGGTGTCTACGGGAAGCACTGTGATCTCCTGCGAAGCATCTTAATTAGTTTTGCCTTTCATGTTGACATCCTCAATTCTAGGCTTGAGTTATTTACTAGACTTTCCTCCTTGTTTGTCAAAACAGAGCAGTTTCTTCAGAGCAGAACATAATGCAAACGCTAATTAAAACTGACAAGTCAAATTGACACCCATTTCAATTACAAAAGGAAAAAAACTACGAAAAAGTCCATTCGCTCTTACTGGAGTTGACTGAAATTGATTATGGGAGTCTGAGGAGGCAGACAGAAGACCCTGTTTTGCTGTTTCCAGAGGCAGGTGGCTGCTACCCCATGGGCCGAGGGCAGCAATCTTGCTCCCACAGCCTGACTTCAAAGCTGCTGTGCTGCACCTGCTGAGAGATGCCTTGGAGGTGGTGGCTGGTGAGCTGGCCTGGCTGCATGGAATCCCAGGAGCTACCTGTCCAGGTGTCAGGCAAGTACTGAGAGTGGTGGTCATCAGTGCTCTCTCCAAAGTGCTCTGTGGGAGCTCCTTGATTTAAGCCAAGTAGTTCTTTATGAGCCTTGCCCGTGCCAGTGCAAGCAGGTTGGCAATGCAGCCTCTTTCACTCCCTGTGAAATGAAGGGAATAAAACAGGCACTGCCCACAGAGTACTGGCTGCTGTCATAGCTGACAGCAGTGTGGGAGCCCTCTTTGTGTAGCAAGGAGTTTGGCTGGTTGATAATTATTACCTTCCCTCCCCTCCTGAGAGGCAGAAGATGGTGCAGGCACCTAATTATCATATAAACTTAAGGGTTTTCTTTCATAAGGGCTCTGCATCATTTGCAGTGCATTCTGGTGTTGTGCTGATGGTGTTAATAGATCAATTAATACTTAACACTCATTTGGTGGGGTGTGTGTGGGTCTGTCAAACTGGGCATATTTAGTTAGTAAGACATGTCTATCCATATAAAGTTTTAAGATCTACATCTTGTTGTGTTCTAACATGTGCCTGCCCTTGTAAATATAAGGATATGTTAACTTTAATCATGTCCTAAAAAAAGCATTTGTGTATGATTATTAGTATCCTGCAACCTCTTTCAGTCTGTATCCACTACTAATGATAGCTTTTAATCTATTTTTTTATCATCTCTTGGGAAGACTCTTCCACTCTCCTTCAGAAGCCTGGTTCTTTCTCATGGCCATCGCTCCATAAGCCACCTCTGGGACCCATTGCTGTTTCAGTGCCAACAAGATGCTGGGTACCAGAACAGTTCCCAAGTGAGTGCTTTTCTTACTCTCCTTCCAACCCTTTTTGCCTGGTAAGTGAAGGCAGCTAGGAGAGAAAGCCATTGCCTCCTGCTTCCTGCAGATCCATCCCTGTCTTACTGGTATGACAGAATATTCCTTGGGAAGTACTCATTGCTTTTCTTTAACTAGTTGATCTTGTTATGGTGCGTAAATCTTCCCCCCTCCACCCCCCCTTGTAGTTCATTACAGCAGCTCACATGGGTTAGCTCACTGTAGGTTGAAAACTGAACTTCAAGTATCAGCTTAACTTCTAACAGCACCTGTTCAGTGCTGTAAGTGAAGCTCTTGTTTACAAGTCCTACAAATGTGAAGCTCCATGACATTTCAGGGAAGCAAGCTGGTGTGATCTCTCTTGAAGGATGGCTCATGGGGTGCATTACTACAGCAATCAGCCAGCAGACACCACACCTCCATTTACCTGAGTAAAATTCAGGAGGAGATGGCTGGGTGCTTAACAGTGTTCTTTGGAGCACAACTGCGATCCTCCATCTGAGCCTCTCTGGATAAGATGGTGGAGAGGCACTGGAGAACAGAAAGAAGAGTAAATGACTGTGAGCTCCAGAGCGTGTATCAGCAGACTGATAGCTCTGTAAGGACCTTCCCCATGGCCTACCTTCTCACCAAACTGCTGCTGCAGCAGATGGGGATGATTCGGGTGAATAGAGAGCTAAGGAGAAGCAGTCAGCAAGTCATGTTGAAGATGTAGCCTTTTTCAACCCTTAGGGAGATAACAGCACTAAGTAACATCATCAGTGTTTTGGATCTGTTTCCAGAGGAGTGCAATAGTACCACAAGTGTGCTGAGAACACTGGAGGGCAGCATATCTTGGCTGATTCTGATTCCATCTATGCAGGATCTTTCTGGCCTCCAACCCAGAACGCTGAGCCAGGCTGGGAGACAGCTATACACAAGGTGAGGTCTCAAACCACGCTGGAGCTCACAACAGTGATCTGTGAGAAATTTTTCCTGCAGTAAGCTCTTTGAAGCTCCAGAGTGGTTGTTAGCATGAAGATGGGGGCGCTGCTTGGGGCTTTGTTTCCATACACGAAGGGTGGGCAATAGGGAGGGATGTTTCTGTATGATAGCTGTCTTTTACTGGAGAAATACTGTGGAGACAGGTGACGGGCAGAGACAACCAGTCTCCCTGTGGATCTGAAATGCAGGCAAAACTCAAGAGACTTGCAGCAAGGTGGTGTGGGGGGCAGCCCTCAGCCAAGCATGGAGTGCTGTATTGTGTGGTGGGCAGTTCCAACCCAGGTGGGACGTGCCCCTTGTTTAACTGAGACTCTCAAATGAAAACGAGAACTACTGAATTAGGACTGGAACCTCTTATCACAAGGATTTTTACTGCTGTGTAAAAAGAGGCAAAAATTATAGTGTGAAAAGGTTTGATCCTCTTAGGGAAACTGCTACAGACTTATGAATTATGATTCATGTAGGGAACAGTAGATTCAATTAGGAAATAGGAACTGAAATCTTATCTCTGTCCTTCCAGGTATATCATAGTATAACACCACTCCTTAATCCTGATTCACTTATAGCATGGCTGGGACAACTGCTGTTACTGCATAGTGGCACATGGCACAAGATAGTTCATGCTAGGAGCACCAGCTGCCAAGTGCCTACAGCATCTATCACCTTGTGTATTCCTATGATGACCAGAGGTTGTCCAAACTCTTCTGTCCTTCAGGTTTTGCTGCTCACGTTTTTAACTTCTTTCACTTGAAGTAACTCTTGCTATGGAATAGGTATTTGAATGCTGAAATAAAACATCTTGTGGTTCAGCAGCATAGGATGCCTGTGGCTGGTGGGGGAGCTGCTTTATTTATGCTACTGCAGAGCTGGGCTTCAAAAAAAAAAAAAAAAAAGGCTAGAAAGGCTAAATCCAGCAGAGAAGCAGTAGAAGATGGATTTTCTTAAGCCTGTGCAGTCAGTAGCAGGCTCCTGCCTGACTAATGCAGTCTTCCAGCACAACAGAGCACAGCTGGTAGCATAGGCAATGTCTTGCATACAGCTCCTGTGAGCATTAATGAAACAGACACAGAAAGCTTCTGGAGGCTGTGTAAATATATATTGATAGGCAAGGATATCTAGCTGTAATCATAGGTAAAGACCTAATCTTCACTTGGTGGAAAGCCTTATTTCTAGAGATAATGACATTTCTACTTCCATGCAGGGACAGCTGAAGGAGTTACCTGGGCACTTCCATTCCCTCCATATTTTTCCAGTTTCAGCCGTGGTGTGAGTGGGAGATAAGAACTGTACACTTGTTGTAAGCAACTCGGTGTGATGTGATCCTGAAACGCTACAATGCTTACCACTGCATTAAAACCAACTGGCAAGAAGCTTGTTTTGAAGAAAAGTGGAATCTCAGGTGAAACTCACCCTGGAAAAGCCTCTGCCCTTTTAGTACCACCCAGCTTGGAGCTGGGGTGAGGGACACAGATAGAACCAGCTTCCCACACATAGCACAAAGCTGGGGTTTGACCGGCCTGGGCAAGCAAACTATAAGCTGATCTGTGGGCAGGGGCAGCTGGCAGGGTAGGAGGGAGGTGCTGTGGCTGTGACCTTTGTGTCTGGCTCTCCTTCCCACCAGCTGCTTGCCCCAGCCTTGAGCCCAGCTGTGACCTGGGGTGAGCTGAGTGCTTCTGAGCTAAAAAACAGTGATGTACAAAACAAACAAAAAAACAGATGTTAATCAGTAATGGCTTGTCAGCTGCAGGTCACTGCAAGTGTGTAGCTCTTCCCAAGGCTGCAGTGTCATCGTGGGGGATAACAGCAGTTTGCTGGTTCCATGGGTGCTCAGCTGCAAGAGGATGGTGGTACAAAGAGGGCTTCTGAGAGGAGGGCAGGGTGTGCTGCCAGAGACCTTGGTGACCCATTGCCCCTTGAATGGCTGGGTTTGCTGGATGTACTGCTTTGTTCCAAGACAAAGTCATTCTTTTTTCCTAGTCCCTTACCTTATCGTGGTACTGCAATCCAGTTGAAAAGCTGAGCTAAGATGCAGGCAGACATGCCTGAAGCTGCATTTGCTGACTGTTTTATTCTGAATGAAAGCTGGCAAGCATCCCATGGGCTGTGACATGGACAGCTCATGGCATGCCTATTGTGCATCTTGTTAGCTTTAACAGTCTCAGTAAAGTAACTGAACAGTGCTCCTCAGGGGGAGCTATCCTTTTCCCATGGGCTTTTAGATGAGAGCATTATTTCCCAGGGCCCAATTTCCTAGTCTGAAATTCTGAATTATTGTCATCTATGGAAACTGTCTACAATTGCTGAAGCTCTCCTTTTGGCTAGAGAGGTGCTAGTACCCTGCTTAGGATGTTTGGTTCCTGGGTGAAGCCAGGAATCTACTTGGCAGATGTAGAAAAGGTCTGTTGTAACATCTGGCCAGCATTACCTGCCGACAACACCAAGCAGATGGAAATCTCAGAGCTTATTTTGCAAATGCATGGAGTAAAGTGCAATTCAATTGCTGAAATTCATGCTCAGTTTTCCACTTTGTGTAGTTTTTGAGGTTATTATTTCTGCTGGTGTTGCTTGATTACTGAAGCTAGCACAGCAAATAATGACAGAAAGACAGGATGTGTAGCAGGTTTAGTTGATATGCAAGCAATGCTGGAGATTTGAGCCCACTGAAAATGCTACTGTAATGAATCACTGTTTTATAAACAGCTTCACATGTGTAACTGCTAGTAACAGATTACGTATACTGATGTCCTTTTGAGGTGGTGAGGTACTGATGTGGAGAGGTATAGGCTCAAGGCAGATGCTGGAAGCTTGAAACTGGAAGACACAAGCAGAGACCAGAACTTGAACCTGAAGCCTGGCAGCAGGTTAGCTTACAGGACTGGTGACAGTAATTTGTCCTATGTGTTCAGTGAGTCACTTTAGAAGTGGCAGAATAATCTGCAAATATAGAGCTTAAACCTTCAAGGCTGGTTCTAATGTAAGTTTTTGAGGTGAAATTCATTTAAGACTTTGATTCGTTGATACAAAAACTACACAAGTGAATCCTACAGTGCTGGATTCAATTGCTCCAGAAGCTTCTGCAGTGCGTGCTGGGGCTCTCTGGAACTTGAGCAGAGCCAGCTGTGGGGTGAGGAGCTGCATTTCTCTTCTGAGCTGCTTAATACCCAGGCACTCCTTCCATTGTCCCTTCAGCTAGTCTGGCATCCTCTAGGCTTGGCCTCAGCTGGATTTTAAAGGTTTCTGGACTGAGATCAAGGGTAGGTTTTGTTTTTGCCCTCTGAATGCCTGAATTACGTCAATGGCTTGGATTCCTCCAAAAATTTGGGAGGGAAATGGGGCAGTGGCAAGTTGAAAAATAGATATGACTGTCTCTCAGTGAGAAGTAGAAACAGTCAACACAGTATTTTTTAGCGATGTTATTATTACTGGAAAGCAGTGTCTAAGTGGAGGCCACACTGACCTCTTGTACTTAACCCTGAATCAGTCAGTGAAGTAGGATGATGCACCATCACTGCAAGAGTTGTTCACAGATGCTTGATGTAGAAGTGGTGGTTTGGAGGCTGCTGTGGGCTCCTACTGGGATCAGCAGGGCCCTGCTATGGCAAGGGGAAGTTGGTGTAAGTCAGAATTGTCATATTCTGTTTTTCTGCTATTTCTTCACTCGTTTCTTCAAGGAGTGCAAATATTAAGAAGTAGTTTTTTTTTTTTCTTAAGGAAACCTTCAGCACAAGCCTTCCTATTGCAGAGGAAGGGAGAAGATGGAGTGATTTCAGCCAGCTCTGCATCGGAACGTCACAAACATGATACCTTCCTCAGATGTCTGGCATTTTGCAGGGTCTCTGTAAGTGTATGCTGAGGCTGCAGTGCCAGCAGGAGGACACCCACCCATGGAGCTTTCACAAACCCACTTTCTCAAAGATATACATCAGTGGTTACAAATGGAGCTGTCCCAGCTCTCAGGAGATTGCTGGGATTCCCAGTGACATTTCACTGCACAGAGGTCCCCTTCTCAGCAGGTGCTGTCTGGGTGCTCTGGGTTCCCTGCTGCTGCTCACAGCTCCTGAGCACCCCAGTGTACCTTGGCCTTGCTCCTCATGCTGCTACCTGCAAGGCCACAGCAGCACATCCCTATGTGATGCCACGGGCTTGTCATGAGCTCAGGCTCTTGCAAGGACCACATCCAGGACCTCAAGAAGGAGGGTTGACAGCACAGGTAACTTGCTGCAGACATTTCTCTTTAGGAAGAAATGACTGCCTGAGGCGCTGGGATGAGATGTATGGGAATGCTGCGTGTGCACAGGGCATCCCTCAAGTTGTTCTCTTGTGCTTGACCCCACGTGAAACTAAGTCTATCTGTAGATTGTATTGTGGTGCTAGTAGGTGAATTTTTTTCAGCACCTATGTTCTCAGACACAACCCCAGGTTTATGACAGTCAGGGTGTCACACAGTTCTCTGCCATGCTGATCTTGTAACTAACTGTGCAAAGCTAATTAAAATGCAAATAACGATGCAAACTGTGAAGGTAAGGAGATGCTGCTGTGTTCCACTAGTAGAAGTGGACATATGGTAATTTCCTTGCTTTTCTTTCCTCTTTGCTCTTTACTTTCTGTCTCTCTCTAATAGCAATCAACCAGAAATAAAGCTTTCAAAAGATGTAATTTATTTTGCAGCCTTTTCTGTGCCAGCTCCTGGAGTCAGTTCACAGCATTGCAGGTGACAATTAACTCTCCAGGATATATATATAAACTTTTAAAAAGAAAAAAATAAATTATCCTCTGAGGAATTGAGACTAATTCAGATTCTTAATTTTAAGGCTCAACTGAATGCACAAGCCCAGGTGTATTTGTTACTGCTGAAAAACTCTTAAATCTTCGGAAAGCAGCATGTTCAGTAATTGCTGCTTGATGTGGAAGTGCTCCTCCTTCTCCCTCATTAGATCTCACCTTTCCCATTTGCAGAAGCCTGCGGCTGTAAGCCCACCTCTCATTTGCCCTTGTTCTGGGGAATGAATGCAATGACACAGGGGAGGCGATGGCCTGGGGCTGCCCCTCACCTGGGTGGGCACATGGGTGGGAGGAATACGTGTTGCAGTGTGTGGGAGCAGGTGGGCTTGGAACACAGCACAAAATCGGGAAAAGCAGCAAAATGGCTGCAAAAAACTAACATCAAGAAAAACAGGGGGGTATACATCTGGGGCTGGAAATCCTCCCCTACTGTATGCACAGAGATATTTGGTGTGAGAGTTAGCATGGGGCAGGAGGGGCTGGCAGTACTGTGCTAAGTGCTACAGGTTGAGGGTTTCCTTGTAATGCTGAAAATGGAACTTTGCTGGAATAGACACAGTTGTGGCGTGCAAATTATTCTCATTCCCTCCTCTACTCTACTGCTGAAGAAATGATTCATGGGATCTTCCCTTGTAGCTGAGGCAAGAGAGCCTACGTGATTACATCTGATGGTTCTTAACACTTTTTTCCCGGTGGTTTTCAGCAGACAAGATAAAGGGTTTGTTTTGGTGGGGGGAAGATGTGGCGGGCCCAGGCAGGGGGCTTGTTTGCCCCCTTCTTCTCGCTGCATAGCAAATGCTGTCTTTTCCTGGGAGAGGGATCCTGCCATCTGGTTTTCGTGAGAATTGCTGGAGCTTTGTAGAAGGAGAATTGCCTTGAGCACTTTCCATTTGGAAGGCAGTTTGATCAGGCAGAGAAATGTGGGATTCTTAACTTCTTTGGAGTGTGAGTATATTCAGGGACAAGTGTGCTTTGTCCAGGAGCATCTCATGAAGTCAGCTGCAGCCCTAACTCTGTTGTACAGCAGCGCATGCAAGCCATGAGAAACAACAAAGCATGTGGTCCTCTTTTGGTTTCCCTTTTCCTGGGATGGCCACTTGTGTTAAAAACTTTTGGCACCGGTGTAGTTCCAAGTTACCATTTGTAATTTTTGCCCATTTGGAATTTTAGAGTGGCTTGTTGCAATCTGCAGTAGCCTGGTGTGAAAGCAGCACAAAGCAGGTCTGGTGTGCTTTAGTTCCTGCAGACTGCTGCAGTAAGCTGCTTCTCCAGCCTGGTCTCTCAGAGCAGCGTGCTTCCAGCAAGCGGGCAGAGGCTCCGTTTGGGAAGCAGCACTGTTATCTGAGATCCAGGCTGAATCGCGTGTCGTCTCACCCCTCTCCTCTGTTTACAGTTCACTGTCCGTGCTGCTGGCGGGGGCAGGCAGCCCCCTCGTGGCTCCAGTCCTGCCCCGGGGCGCTGGGCAGGCACCTCGCAGCACTCCTCTTGGCAGCACTGTCTGCAGAGAAGTGGTCTCTTTCAGCCTGAGCTCTGTGGGCTTTGGCAAAGGGCAGAAGGGCTCCCAGGCAGCGATGCTTGTCCAAGAGCA